ATTATAATAAACCTAGATGCATGTTTGGTATAGAGGAATGGAATAAATGTTGAATCATTGATGAAAATGGGACCTAAGAGTTGTAATGGTAATTATGGAAAATGACCTAATTACATTGTTTGATTAATTGAGATAATTAATTGTGAGAAATGAGGAAATGAAATGGAATTGTTGAGATTGGGAATGTATGGGGTAAAAGGGTGTAGTTGAATTATTTACACTCACCGAATTGAAATGTCGATTGAATATCTATTGTGCATTTATTTTCTGTTTAGAGATAACTGCTTTGGGCTATCGGTGGATGATAGTCGTGATTGTTGTAGACAAAGCATGATGATTAGGCAAATGAAAACTAATCAATGGAATGTGTCATGGAATTTGACGGTTGATAGGATACATTAACTGTATGTATTGAGTGATTGTATATAGAACCAATGTGTTTGTATACGTTATGTGTAGAGGAGGAAATGGGGGATGTACTCCGCGGTTTAGGGGAAGATGGGAGATGTACCTTAAACCAGATAGTGTTGGGAGAAGTTAGGGGATGAACTCCGTAGATACAGCTCATATGCTTGTCTAGAGAAGTGGAGATAGAGCTAATATGCTTATCTTGTGAAGTGTGGATATAGCTTATATGCTTATCTGTGAATGTGGGATATTGTTGTTATACATATCTGTTAGGAATGTGGATATAGCTTATATGCTTATCTGTGAATGTGGGATATAGTTTTTATACATATCTGTTGAAATGATGATAGAGCTAACATGCTTATCTGTTGAAAAAGGGAAAATGAAAGGTAACTTGGACTCATAAGTCGTATGACATAAATATGTGATTTATGTGAATGTATCAGTGTTGGCCATCTATCAATTGCTAATCTTTTAGTCATTGTTCATGGTTGGTTTAGTGTATTTCTACTGGGCTGTGGCTCACCCTATATGGGAATATCATTTTCAGGTAACAGGTAGCATGCCACCTCCAAGGACATAGCTTGGGAGGCTAGAGGCGGACATACTTTTGTTGTTTTATTTTGATGTGTTACATGTAAATTCAAGCCAAGGGCTTAACGTGTAAATGAGTTAGTACTCTTTTGTTATAACCAAGTGTTAACTTGGAAAGCTGTAAGCTCGTAGGGCATTTTGCTTTTGTTGTTAACATATAATACTTATGTAATGAGACTCTGATGAATAGAAGAATGTGGTTATTTCATATGTCAATGAATGTCTTATTTGTTGGGTTTAATGTTATTATTTTGAGGGCGTCACAAAGATGATGTTGGAGACAATAATCAGAATCCAGAGTATATATGTTTTGTAATCACCACTAGATTAATAAGCATGCTATCAACTTCACAACAATATAAATGCCTAATATCTAGAAGGTACTAGAAAGTAACCGCATGCACATCTTTGTCCTTAAAATGCTCATCTATGATAATGGAATCATACAATAGTCTCTTCTCCACAGCACTATGACCTGAAAGCACACATGACATGTCCATTCACAATACAGAACAAGAATAATGTAACACTATAACAGAAAGAAAATAATGAAAAAGACCTGGATAACCCACTGTAGAAAAACACCAAGCGAAGTTCCACAAGATATAAGAATTCCACCTAAATAAAGCAGTAAACATTAACATGAACATAGTTTGCAACTATATACAACATTTAAACAGAGTCTCTTACATGCCAAATAACATATCACCAGTCTGGAAAGCATTTAATTGCCTTGCAAAAGCATATGTAAAGCACTGTAATAATGATTAGATAGTAGTTACATTCACATTCTTGAGTGTTACACAACAAGATTCTCTATCTACTAAGATCATTTTCAGATTGAAAATAAGAATTTGGAAGGTAAAATAGTGAGTAGCCAAAAATGTTGGAGGATAACTCACACCAGCAATAATGAGCATGCTAGAGAAAACAAGGCTAACAGAGGGAAGGATGTTATTTCCTTCTGCACTGAGAGCAAGAATTAAACTTGGTTATTAGATCTTTGCACAAGAATTGCATAACGCCAAAATTATTAACAAATCAAAATGCAATTACAGCATATAGTACTTGCCTCATATATCCAAAACCAAGGCCAAAGGGCCAGCAAGAACTATGCAGGGAATCATTATTTTCACCTGACAATGAAAAGAAAGCAAGCTAATCATAACAAAGTGTTGTGCGTTGGTTGGCTTATAATATGCAATTTCACAAAATTATTATCATAAAAATTACAGTTTAATTATGCAATTTCTTGGTTGGCTTATAATATAATTAACATCAAATTAAAATATGTTAAGAGGCATGTTGAATTGCAACACAGATGGGCTACCACAGAAAATCCAGGCATGACCAAAGTTATTGGTTGCTCATAAGAAGTTAACATGTGCAAACTTATCCATTTCCCTCACAGTTTGTGATCTTATTATAAATGCCTAATATCATTATTATTTTATTTTATTTTGTTTAAAGAATGGTAGAAATGTATTGGGTGATACCATATTATGCTCATCTGCCACACAGAGTTTCACCAATAATACAGAATTACAAGCTAAGCAGTATAAGATTGGTCTTCCTTCAATCTCCTTCAACAATTTGTTTATAGAAACAGATTGTTTCAAATAATTATTTTTTTAAAAAACAGAAATTGTTTCACCAATTTTGAACAGAAATTTCAACATAAATTAAGCTATAAATCAACAAATCTGAAGCAATTAACAGAAGCAATCAAGCAATTTTTTTTAAAAAAAAATTAGGCAATTTAAACAAATCTCAAGCAATCTAAAGCAAATTAATAAAAGAAAATTAAAGGAAATAAATACTTGGGGAAAGATGGAAAGAGAGAGAGTTGACTAGTTGTGAAAACTGAATGGTTCATTGGTTACAAAGAGTGCAGTGCACGTGGTTAAGGTCAACTAGCATATCAAAAGTTCATGGGGTTGGGGAAGGAATTGAAGAACTTACAGTGAATGAGAAAACATAAACCAGAGAGAGAGAAGCAGCAACGGTGAGAGGAGAAGCAGCACTGGAAAGGCCAACGGTGGCGACTAGCAAGAGCAGCGGCGGCGCCGATCAGCAAGGAAAGGAGGAGGAGCAAGAGGGGAGATGAAGAGGCGCGTTGATCAGTGGCCATCGGCGGCAGGGGCGAGATGGAGAGCCGCAAGAAACCCTAGAAAGAAATTGTCCAGCTCTTTCTCTCTCTACCAAAGACATTTCATGAGCTTATATACAATATGGAAATAATTATTTAATATAAAAATTAAATTAAAAAATTATATATAACCACACCTGAAACTATGATGAAAATATATATAATAATCACACTTATTTAAAATTTATGATTAAAAAAAATATTATCTCACTCATTAAATTAAGTGTGATTAAAAAATTATTTTAATTTTTTTATCACATTTCTAATAAAAGTGAGATATTTTTAATTCTTTTTATGTGATCTTTAATCACATGTTAATTAAAAGGTGTGATTAAAAAATATAAATACAATCACACTTAATTGAAAAGTGACATAAAAAATAAATAGTATCACACTTAATCAAATCAAGTGTGATTAAAATATCAATCTAATTTTTTTTATCACATTTCTAATAAAAGTGAGATATTTTCATTTGTTAAAGTGTGATCTAATCACACTCATTTAAAAAGTGTGATTAAAAAGTAGTAATGTATAATAATCACACTTTAATTAGAATATGTGTGATTAAAAATATATAAATAATCATACTTTAATTAGAATGTGTGATTAAAATATATATAAATAATCACACTTATTTAAAAGTGTGATTAAAAAGTAATAGTGTATATATAATCACACTTCAATTAGAATGTGTGATTAAAGATATATATATAATCACACTTTAATTAGAATGTGTGATTAAAAAATATATATATAATCACACTTTATTAAAAAGTGTGATTAAAAAGTAAGAGGATATATATAATCACACTTTAATTAGAATGTGTGATTACACAAATATATAAATAATCACACTTTAATTAGAATGTGTATAACAATATATAAAATAATCACACTTTAATTAGAATGTGTGATTAAAAAATATATATATAATCACACTCTTTTAAAAAGTGTGATTAAAAAGTAGTAGTGTATATATAATCACACTTTAATTAGAGGGTGTGATTGAAAAATATATAAATAATCACACTTTAATTAGAATGTGTGATTAAAAAATATATATATAATCACACTTATTTAAAAAGTGTGATTAAAAAGTAATAGTATATATGTAATCACACTTTAATTAGAAGGTGTGATTAAAAAAATGTATATATAATCACACTTAATTGAAAAATGACATAAAAAACAAATATTATCATACTCAATCAAATTAAGTATGATTAAAATATCAATCTAATTTTTTTATTACACTTTCAATAAAAGTGAGTATTTTCTTTTGTCAAAGTGTGGTCTTTAACTATTTTTGTAGTAGTGTTATTGTACATAGTAATTATTTACCTAAAGAAAATTACCTTGTTATGACGACAAACAATGTGACCATAATGATATTCAACTTTTTGATAGCAACTTTTGCACAAATCAATCCAAAGGTTGTCAACATCAATTTGTTCGATGTACCCACGTATTCGAAAATATGAAACTACCAAATATTTGAAAAAACATAAATTAATCTCTCTATAAATAAATTATATACATATCGTTTAATTTTCATTAATTAGGATGATAACAATTCTTACCTTTGGCATGAATGCAAAATCACATATTCAAATTCTTTTGGCATTTGATATTATCAATGACTGTGAAATGCGAATCCATTTTTGATTCCAAGATACCAACTTTTGTGATATAGGATTCATAGCAAGCCTAGATAAACATGTCAATATATATATATATATATATATAATTGTGAAAATTATATTGTCATATATAATTGATTAATATTATACAATCATAACATACCACACTCGAATATGATTTGTATAACGGAATGAATGATTAATATATAGCTTTTTATATTTGCATGTAGCGAGACATGGACCTAGAAGTTGAGAAAAGATAATTTATTAATATCAATATTTGTATATGCATGTAGATATTATAAAGAGAATAAAAAGTAATCCTACCATGATAATCTTTAACTGTTAATCCAGTGGCAAACAAAATATTATCATTCTCTAGAGTATGATATAGTTACATGCCATCAGTTGTTGCAAACACATCCCATGGAGTTAGTCTTACCAATGTGAAATTGTTTTTACAATTAAAAAAAAAAAGTTGAGATTAGGAAAAATAATATAATTCATAGAGTATTTCAAATTTGGTAAAGACACAAAAATATGTTATAGTATTGTACCTTGTATCAAGTAGTAGAATCTCTCTCTTGTAATTATCACGATTTGCAATACCTTGACATTCAGTTACACTACCAACCAAGCCAATCACATCTGCATATTTTAGCATTTGCATGTTTATTGTTTTGATAGTCACAAAATTTTTGTATTGATAATAAACTATGTAAGTATATAATCTAGATAAGTATCATTTAGTAAAAGTAACGTACCTATTAATTGAACATCTTGATGAAGAAATTGCCAATGTCTGATAATTTTTTAAGGAAATACCACTGAAATGGTATATTATTATCATGATCAAGTATGTGCACAATTGTTGTATCATTAGTAAAAGACATCTTATAATAATATGGCACCAACTTGAATTTCTCATCAGCCAATGTAATATGAACTCCTCTAAAACAATATATTTTTCTTCAATTAAAATGTTTCTTGAAGTAATCATAGTCCTCAGAGCATACAGTTTCTTCCATGGCATTACCCTTTCAAAAAAGGTAATAAGAACACATTTTTAACATAATATAAAACAAAATATTTAACAATTATCTCATGATAAGAGTTGTAAACACCTATCCATCAACAAAAATCATTCTGAATATCATATTTCCCCTAGGACGATTAGTCACAAATAACAACCTGACTAACTTTGCTTTAACGCTCCAATTACTTGTATATGGATGTAAATCAGCAAAGTATGGATATTTGATAATTTTATCACCTATTGACAATGTAGATGCATATGAGCAAAATATGAATTTATAATTTTTATACGATGTATCTATAGATCTTAAGAAATTCGAAAATGAAATATTAAGAATTTTTAATAAAAAAAAATAAATTGTTAAGTTTACATTATGATAAAATAGAAAAAATAAGTAATGAATTATTATACAAAAAATATTATACAAACATATTTTGTAAGGGTAAGTTTTTTAATTATTTTTATTAAATGAAAATGAAAAAAAAAAAAGAAGATTAGATCATCCAATTTTTTGTATACTAAATGTAATATTTGGATAAGATTTATGAAATTTATATTCTAGACATGGCATATGGAATGCTACAGGTAACATGTATTCAACTTGGAATTGAAATACGATGCAGTTAGTATGATGCGCCGAGCCCGGTGCATGCAAAACAGATGAGTGGATGCAAACATGTGTGATCCCCGCCCCCGCCCCGCCCCGCCCCGTTGCCATTCCTAACAATACGTCTTATTTTTTTATATTTTTAAATATTATTTTATTATTTTTATTCAATTAAACTTATTTTCAAGAGATTGATCAACAAATCTCATATCTTGGACTTGTGATCCTTATAGTTTCATATTTTTTTTGTGATCTATTTAGTCATTTTAGATATATAATGACTCGTTTGATATTATACTGTCCTTAATTGTTGTTGTTTGTTGGAATGTTATATTACAATGTTACATTTAAAAAAAATAGTAACAATTTTTGTTTTTTGGAATGTTAGAGCATCCCCATTGAATCTCCTAAATCCATCTCTTACCTATTTTTAGGAGTCTTTCTTTATAAAATCAACCCCATCAGCTCCCCTAAAATAACTCCCTATATAAGGAATACTACAATTGCCCCCCAAATGTAAGGGCCATTTCCCAAAATAAGCCCAACTACTAACCAATTTTCCAAACGGAGCTTAGTTTGGCCGATATTCCCAAAATAAGCTGATGTATCAGTGTTGGCCATCTATCAATTGCTAATCTTTTAGTCATTGTTCATGGTTGGTTTAGTGTATTTCTACTGGGCTGTGGCTCACCCTATATGGGAATATCATTTTCAGGTACAGGTAGCATGCCACCTCCAAGGACATAGCTTGGGAGGCTAGAGGCGGACATACTTTTGTTGTTTTATTTTTGATGTGTTACATGTAAATTCAAGCCAAGGGCTTAATGTGTAAATGAGTTAGTACTCTTTTGTTATAACCAAGTGTTAGCTTGGAAAGCTGTAAGCTCGTAGGGCATTTTGCTTTTGTTGTTAACATATAATACTTATGTAATGAGACTCTGATGAATAGAAGAATGTGGTTATTTCATATGTCAATGAATGTCTTATTTGTTGGGTTTAATGTTATTATTTTGAGGGCGTCACAAAGATGATGTTGGAGACAATAATCAGAATCCAGAGTATATATGTTTTGTAATCACCACTAGATTTAATAAGCATGCTATCAACTTCACAACAATATAAATGCCTAATATCTAGAAGGTACTAGAAAGTAACCGCATGCACATCTTTGTCCTTTAAAATGCTCATCTATGATAATGGAATCATACAATAGTCTCTTCTCCACAGCACTATGACCTGAAAGCACACATGACATGTCCATTCACAATACAGAACAAGAATAATGTAACACTATAACAGAAAGAAAATAATGAAAAGAACCTGGATAACCCACTGTAGAAAAACACCAAGCGAAGTTCCACAAGATATAAGAATTCCACCTAAATAAAGCAGTAAACATTAACATGAACATAGTTTGCAACTATATACAACATTTAAACAGAGTCTCTTACATGCCAAATAACATATCACCAGTCTGGAAAGCATTTAATTGCCTTGCAAAAGCATATGTAAAGCACTGTAATAATGATTAGATAGTAGTTACATTCACATTCTTGAGTGTTAACACAACAAGATTCTCTATCTACTAAGATCATTTTTCAGATTGAAAATAAGAATTTGGAAGGTAAAATAGTGAGTAGCCAAAAATGTTGGAGGATAACTCACACCAGCAATAATGAGCATGCTAGAGAAAACAAGGCTAACAGAGGGAAGGATGTTATTTCCTTCTGCACTGAGAGCAAGGATTAAACTTGGTTATTAGATCTTTGCACAAGAATTGCATAACCGCCAAAATTATTAACAAATCAAAATGCAATTACAGCATATGGTACTTGCCTCATATATCCAAAACCAAGGCCAAAGGGCCAGCAAGAACTATGCAAGGAATCATTATTTTCACCTGACAATGAAAAGAAAGCAAGCTAATCATAACAAAGTGTTGTGCGTTGGTTGGCTTATAATATGCAATTTCACAAAATTATTATCATAAAAATTACAGTTTAATTATGCAATTTCTTGGTTGGCTTATAATATAATTAACATCAAATTAAAATATGTTAAGAGGCATGTTGAATTAGCAACACAGATGGGCTACCACAGAAAATCCAGGCATGACCAAAGTTATTGGTTGCTCATAAGAAGTTAACATGTGCAAACTTATCCATTTCCCTCATAGTTTGTGATCTTATTATAAATGCCTAATATCATTATTATTTTATTTTATTTTGTTTAAAGAATGGTAGAAATGTATTGGGTGATACCATATTATGCTCATCTGCCACACAGAGTTTCACCAATAAATACAGAATTACAAGCTAAGCAGTATAAGATTGGTCTTCCTTCAATCTCCTTCAACAATTTGTTTATAGAAACAGATTGTTTCAAATAATTATTTTTTTAAAAACAGAAATTGTTTCACCAATTTTGAACAGAAATTTCAACATAAATTAAGCTATAAATCAACAAATCTGAAGCAATTAACAGAAGCAATCAAGCAATTTTTTTAAAAAAAAATTAGGCAATTTAAACAAATCTCAAGCAATCTAAAGCAAATTAATATAAAGAAAATTAAAGGGAATAAATACTTGGGGAAGGATGGAAAGAGAGAGAGTTGACTAGTTGTGAAAACTGAATGGTTCATTGGTTACAAAGAGTGCAGTGCACGTGGTTAAGGTCAACTAGCATATCAAAAGTTCATGGGGCTGGGGAAGGAATTGAAGAACTTACAGTGAATGAGAAAACATAAACCAGAGAGAGAGAAGCAGCAACGGTGAGAGGAGAAGCAGCGCTGGAAAGGCCAATGGTGGCGACTAGAAAGAGTAGCGGCGGCGCCGATCAGCAAGGAAAGGAGGAGGAGCAAGAGGGGAGATGAAGAGGCGCGTTGATCAGTGGCCATCGGCGGCAGGGGCGAGATGGAGAGCCGCAAGAAACCCTAGAAAGAAATTGTCCAGCTCTTTCTCTCTCTACCAAAGCAATTTCATGAGCTTATATACAATATGGAAATAATTATTTAATATAAAAATTAAATTAAAAAATTATATATAACCACACCTGAAACTATGATGAAAATAAATATATATAATCACACTTATTTAAAATTTATGATTAAAAAAAATATTATCTCACTCATTAAATTAAGTGTGATTAAAAAATTATTTTAATTTTTTTAATCACATTTCTAATAAAAGTGAGATATTTTCATTTGTTAAAGTGTGATCTAATCACACTCATTTAAAAAGTGTGATTAAAAAGTAGTAATGTATATATAATCACACTTTAATTAGAATATGTGTGATTAAAAAATATATAAATAATCATACTTTAATTAGAATGTGTGATTAAAATATATATAAATAATCACACTTATTTAAAAGTGTGATTAAAAAGTAATAGTGTATATATAATCACACTTCAATTAGAATGTGTGATTAAAGATATATATATAATCACACTTTAATTAGAATGTGTGATTAAAAAATATATATATAATCACACTTATTTAAAAAGTGTGATTAAAAAGTAAGAGGATATATATAATCACACTTTAATTAGAATGTGTGATTACAAAATATATAAATAATCACACTTTAATTAGAATGTGTGATAACAATATATATAAATAATCACACTTTAATTAGAATGTGTAATTAAAAATATATATATATAATCACACTCTTTTAAAAAGTGTGATTAAAAAGTAGTAGTATATATATAATCACACTTTAATTAGAAAGTGTGATTAAAAAATATATAAATAATCACACTTTAATTAGAATGTGTGATAACAATATATATAAATAATCACACTTTAATTAGAATGTGTAATTAAAAATATATATATATAATCACACTCTTTTAAAAAGTGTGATTAAAAAGTAATAGTATATATGTAATCACACTTTAATTAGAAGGTGTGATTAAAAAAATGTATATATAATCACACTTAATTGAAAAATGACATAAAAAACAAATATTATCATACTCAATCAAATTAAGTATGATTAAAATATCAATCTAATTTTTTTTATTACACTTTCAATAAAAGTGAGATATTTTCTTTTGTCAAAGTGTGGTCTTTAACTATTTTTGTAGTAGTGTTATTGTACATAGTAATTATTTACCTAAAGAAAATTACCTTGTTATGACGACAAACAATGTGACCATAATGATATTCAGCTTTTTGATAGCAACTTTTGCACAAATCAATCCAAAGGTTGTCAACATCAATTTGTTCGATGTACCCACGTATTCGAAAATATGAAACCTACAAAATATTTGAAAAAACATAAATTAATCTCTCTATAAATAAATTATATACATATCGTTTAATTTTCATTAATTAGGATGATAACAATTCTTACCTTTGGCATGAATGCAAAATCACATATTCAAATTCTTTTGGCATTTGATATTATCAATGACTGTGAAATTGCGAATCCATTTTTTCGATTCCAAGATACCAACTTTTGTGATATAGGATTCATAGCAAGCCTAGATAAACATGTCAATATATATATATATATATATATAATTGTGAAAATTATATTGTCATATATAATTGATTAATATTATACAATCATAACATACCACACTCGAATATGATTTGTATAACGGAATGAATGATTAATATATAGCTTTTTATATTTGCATGTAGCGAGACATGGACCTAGAAGTTGAGAAAAGATAATTTATTAATATCAATATTTGTATATGCATGTAGATATTATAAAAGAGAATAAAAAGTAATCCTACCATGATAATCTTTAACTGTTAATCCAGTGGCAAACAAAATATTATCATTCTCTAGAGTATGATATAGTTACATGCGATCAGTTGTTGCAAACACATCCCATGGAGTTAGTCTTACCAATGTGAAATTGTTTTTACAATTAAAAAAAAAAAGTTGAGATTAGGAAAAATAATATAATTCATAGAGTATTTCAAATTTGGTAAAGACACAAAAATATGTTATAGTATTGTACCTTGTATCAAGTAGTAGAATCTCTCTCTTGTAATTATCACGATTTGCAATACCTTGACATTCAGTTACACTACCAACCAAGCCAATCACATCTGCATATTTTAGCATTTGCATGTTTATTGTTTTGATAGTCACAAATTTTTTGTATTGATAATAAACTATGTAAGTATATAATCTAGATAAGTATCATTTAGTAAAAGTAACGTACCTATTAATTGAACATCTTGATGAAGAAATTGGCCAATGTCTGATAATTTTTTAAGGAAATACCACTGAAATGATATATTATTATCATGATCAAGTATGTGCACAATTGTTGTATCATTAGTAAAAGACATCTTATAATAATATGGCACAAACTTGAATTTCTCATCCGCCAATGTAATATGAACTCCTCTAAAACAATATATTTTTCCTTCAATTAAAATGTTCTTTGAAGTAATCATAGTCCTCAGAGCATACAGTTTCTTCCATGGCATTACCCTTTCAAAAAAGGTAATAATAACACATTTTTAACATAATATAAAACAAAATATTTAACAATTATCTCATGATAAGAGTTGTAAACACCTATCCATCAACAAAAATCATTCTGAATATCATATTTCCCCTAGGACGATTAGTCACAAATAACAACCTGACTAACTTTGCTTTAACGCTCCAATTACTTGTATATGGATGTAAATCAGCAAAGTATGGATATTTGATAATTTTATCACCTATTGACAATGTAGATGCATATGAGCAAAATATGAATTTATAATTTTTATACGATGTATCTATAGATCTTAAGAAATTCGAAAATGAAAATATTAAGAATTTTTAATAAAAAAAAATAAAAATTGTTAAGTTTACATTATGATAAAATAGAAAAAATAAGTAATGAATTATTATACAAAAAATATTATACAAACATATTTTGTAAGGGTAAGTTTTTTAATTATTTTTATTAAATGAAAATGAAAAAAAAAAAAAAGATTAGATCATCCAATTTTTTGTATACTAAATGTAATATTTTGGATAAGATTTAGAATTTAGAGTAGTAATTATTTTATAATTAAAGAATAAAAAAAAACATAGCCATTCAAATTTTGAAAAGACATTTTGTATCAATCTTCAAATGCCATCAAGGACATCACGGTATACAACATTTTTTGTGTAATTTGACGGTTGGTCAACCTTATTAACAATCAATATCTTCAAGCCTGATGGTGAGGTAACACGCGATAAGGCAACATATAACTGACTATGGGAGAATACTGGATTAGGAAGGTATACACCAAATTTTTTTAAAGTCTAACCTTGACTTTTGTTTATGGTCATTGCAAATGCTAATTTTATGGGAAATTGTCTTCTTTTAATCGGGACAGGTGAATGTGTGGTAGATGGTGATAAAATGATACGTGGAATGAAGACTCCTTCCCCAATATTCGAACTCGTAATCACTCATGCCTCAATCACTTTATCTCTCATTTTCTCAACAATGTGCCATTACATAGACCTTGAGATTGATTGAGATTTCTCAGTTGCATTATAGGTGCTCCCTTTTGAGTTCAAGGCAATGACTTGGAATTCCTGGAAAATTTAATGAGTGCAATAACTCTGGTGGATGCATATTAGTATTTGCAAGTTATAATATAAAAGAATCATAATTAGAAAATATTATTACTTGGGGTTCTTACCTATAGCGACCCTGGTTTTGACCATTCTCTTGTGGTGTTCCGGACTCGGGTTTGTATTCGTTTGGATGGTGGTTCATGTCTTGCTTCCCTTGTCTTCCCCTTAATGTTGGCTATTGGGTTGTAGTTGTGTGTTTGGAACAGGTTGGTTGCTTGTTTTTCTAAGCCTT